ACCAACCCACAATCAGACCATTCCGGAATGCAATGCGGGTAATCTCCCAGCGTCAGGTGAGCCTTCCCTATACGATCCAAGACGAGGTTGGCGGTGTCGACGATGTGTCGCCGCCAGTTGAAGATGTAGGACCCCGCCACTATCATTGTGGGTTTGGCGACCATTGACGCGTAGAACCACGCCTCGTAGTGTGATCGGTCATCGTCACCACCCGTGCGCATGATCCACATGCACGCGCTCAACAAGGCCCAAAGACAATCCGCAAGTTGAGACAACCTCTCCTGTTTCACGCGTCCGCCGTCCGCCCATTGTCCACACCAGACTGCATCTGTCCAGCAGTCCGCCACGCGAAGAACTGTCGCCTCCTGCCGCGCCGCCATGTCGTCGTCTTCAGGCCGGTCCACAATCTTCAGCCCCGCGAACCACAGAGGAACGTCCATCTTCATCGCCAGCGTGTGGTAGACCAGGGCAGGGGAAACCACTTTCGACCATTCGTATCCCTGCCAAACCGCTCGTGCGACGTTTGTAGCTAAGTCCACGCTGATGTACGACTCTGCACGAGCGAAGCCAGTCGACCTCAACGACGATTTGAAGATCCAGCCATGGATGGTGCGCAACACCAGTTTTTCCACGTTGAGTGCTCTGCGCAAAGCGAGTTCGCGTTGCGCAGGGCCCTCGATCTTGAAGCGCGGCACATCATTCGGCGGCGTTACGAGTATCGCAGGCGGTTCAGCTCCAGCATCTCCGTTAGCGATGGCGACGAAGTAGCCCGCGCAGTCGCCTACCGCCTCCCTCAATTGTTTCCCCGGGCCCTGACCCTTGAAAGCGTTGCAATCAACCCACAACTTCGACCTCTCCTCCACATCGTCTTCCTTTGCCGTTCCCTTCAACCTCGTGACAAGTGGATGGTCGTCGTCGTCATCGCCCTCCCGCTTTCCATCTCTTCTCCCATCGTCGTGACGAACGTCATCGATCCTCGCCTCCTCCGCAGCTTCGGCGACTACGCTTCTACTGCTGTGATCCGCCACCGCCGTACGAGTGCCGCTCACCGTCGCGTCGCCCTTTTCCGTGGACGGTGCTTTGCCTCCACCTGAAGCCCCCGCCTGTTGCAGAGGGAGTGGCTGACGTGGGTGACCCTGGCCCACCACCGCCGGAAGTTGCATCGAAACGCGCGCCTCCGTGATGACAACCCCTGCCGCCTTCGAGGTCCTTGGCAACATCCCGACGCCACCAACAACGAGGCTCTGTTTGATAGCGGACAGTTGTTCCCTTGACACCCCATCCCGCCCAAAACCCAATCGCATCGCCCCTGCCCTCCCTTGCGGATCCACCGTCACCACTTCCTCTCCCTGGAAGTCGTCATTGTGTTCGGCGTTAGCCTCATCGACGAGCTGCCTTTTCGACTTTGGCACGTGGCCTCTGCATTTTTGGGTTCCCCCCCCATCCCCTACTCCGCTATCTTTCCTGCCCTTCCCTGAGGCGTTCCTCGGTGCCATCTCATCCGCAAATCGAGAACGACGACTACGTGGACGAAGGAGGACGTCGACGAAGGACCACGTGCACGGTGGACGCGTGGAGGTCGACGATGGGCACGTGGCCGAAGGAGCACGTGGATGATGCCCAGGAAGGGGCATTGGCCACGGAGCAGTGACAATGATGGCGACGTTCGAGGAGGCGCACGTGCTTGATGCGCATGAAGGGGCACTGTTAGCGGAGCGCCGGAGCCCAAAGCGGAAGCGTGGAGCGGCGAAGTGGATATGCAGGCCTGCGACGACGACTCAGTGCACAAACAGTGTCGTTGGAGCCGTGGGAAATGAATCACTGTCGTACGGAGTGCCACCCGTACTCTCCTTTTGTATACACCGCACTCTCGCAGCACACCATGGACACGCCGCGCCGTCCTTAAGAGCCTGCCCCTTCGCCGATCACACACGGACCATTTTCCCCACCAGCTGGTGCTGATCCCTCGCATGGCCAACAACGCATGAGAGACGGTTAACGGGGGCCCAAATATTCGTCGTTTTCGTTGGCAATTGCGGTGCGAATTTCATCAAAAATCATAAAAACAAACGATATGATTCCATAGTGCAAACATCAAAAAAGGAAACAGGCCAAAAAAAACGAAAAAAAAAACAAAAAAACACTATGAAACCCTAACTCAAAGACAATGTCCTAGTCAAAATGAAGCGTCCAACAAATTCAACAAAATGCCAACTTTTTCATTATTGATCCAAACGTGTCAAAACTGCACACATGACGTACCCTAAAGCATATATATGTCACACAAAAAGAAAAACAAGAAAAAAGCAAAAAATCAGCGCAATATGACAGCTTCAGTGCAATTTGGTGCAAAATTCGTCGAAAATAACACCACTAGTTAACCACGTGTGGAAAACTCGAGAGACGGTTAACGGGGGCCCAAATATTCGTTGTTTTCGTTAGCAATTGCGGTGCGAATTTCATCAAAAATCATAAAAACAAACGATATGATTCCATAGTGCAAACATTAAAAAAGGAAACAGGCCAAAAAAAACGAAAAGAGGCACCCCTGTCCGCCATTTCCCCCCCTCCCGTCCGAAAAACACACCGTGGCACCTATTCCTTCACCAACGCCCCCCCAAACAAGACCCTGGTGGATCGCCATCCACGCGTGACGGCAACGCCTCACAACACCAGCCGTTAAACAGTATTCAAAATCAGAGGTCCTAATGTAAAACCGAAGGACGCGCCGCAGGGCATGACAACAATGAATACCCTGCACACTCATCCAACAAATCCATGCTTAAAAAAAACAGCGGTGCCAAAAACGATCCCCAGTTTCTCCACAACCTGCCCAACACCGCACTGCAGCACGCAGGACGGCGGTAACGCCGATGCTCTGGAAGTGCACACGTGGCATTCGCGTGGACGTAGGACATGTGTGGCCCAGCGGCATTAGGATCGCTCGCGGATCGCTTTATCAATCTCCAGAAGGGCGTTGCACATTATGAAGTTCGCCTAGTCGGCCTTCACGTAGTGTTCCTTCTGCACTTCTAGCTCTCGCTCTTTCATGCCGCATTGCCTCGTCAGAATTGAGCACTTTCTCTTGCTCGCGCTGTCCACTGTCGTCGCCATCAGATTCCCGTGGTCCTTCATGACGTCTGCAATCGTGTCGAAGGTCTGCTGTCTTACATTCTTTCGTTTGCCGCCCCCGCCACCACCAACGCCGCTGAACGTTGAATCCCTCGTCGATCCTTGATCGTCGTCCTGTCCATCCCCGCATCCCTCGCTACCGCCGGATTCATTCCGACCTCCACGTGGACATGGCATTTGAACACCTCCGGCCACACCCGTGTCCACGAGATTCGTGGGGTGTATAGCGTGATCGCCCCTGGACATGGCCTTTATCTCCCAATACACACACTTATCCATCCGAAATTCGAACCCCCGCTCCTTCCTCTCCGCCGACGTTAGTGTGAAGAAATTTGGCTTCCCCGATTCTCCCATGAACTTGTGCATGGTTTTGAACTGTTGGTACAGGTTATCCCATTTTTTCCCGCAGTCCTCGGACTTTCTACTCATCACCCCATCTGCATGAGCCTCTTCTCTACGCCGTCCCACTTCCATGTCTTCGTCTTCATCCTTCCGCTGTTGTGGCTGAGGCTGGCCAGATGCAAGTCCTGGTCTTTTTTAGCTCGGATCAGAGCAATCATGTGGTCCACGGTCCAAAAATCCGTGCTTTTTGCTACCTCGCCTGTCGACGAATCTCCCGCACCCTTCTTGCCTCTCCGCCCCGCGCGCGGTTCTGCAGACTTGTTTGTGGCCCTTGACCCTCCCCACTTCCTCCCTATCTGACGAATCTCCATCTCCCCGTCGACGTCCTCGTCGTTGTCATTGCTCCTGCCGCCTGCAGCGCAATCTTCGCCCCCTGCACCATCGCAATCGCCAAACACATCGTCCGCCCTCACATTAATGTTCGCCACCCCTCTCGTTATGGAGGACGTGCTCGATTGACGCGATTGTCGCCGATGATCATCCCAAACCTTTCGTCCCACGACCTCCACAGCGGAGCCCTCATCGGCGTCCCCTCGTTCGTCGATTCTACTGGCTGGTGTCGTCGATCCACCTGTCCCCGTCCTCGACGCGGCCACACCTGTTGTGCCCACTGCCCCCCGCCTTCGTGAAAGGACTCCACGTTCGTCGCCCGACTGACCAAAACACCAGGCGGGGGTATAAGGAAGGCCCGACGCCCCCACTGAAGGTGGTGCGTGGTTGGTGCCGGAAGCTGGGTTCACGAGAACGGTGTGTGTAACGTCCTCTTCAGTCCTAGACCTCAAACCGAAGCTGAGATCTACGAGTGCTGCGTCATAACCAACCGGGGTCCGCCCCTCCAGCAGACCAGTGTACGTCCGCTTCGATGAATTTCTGTACAGCTCGCTCCCCATCGAATCCTGCGTCCGAACCGCTTCCCAGAGGAACCGTTGAGGATCGGGTGTTGTCACTGTCGTCGTCACTCGGAGGCAACGGAATCTCGTGGGACGGCAGGTGGCTGTACAGAGTTGGGTCGTACGGCCGCCTGCCTCCTTCCGCAGTGCTGCAACGCCGACGTGACGACCCCCCAGCCCCTACGGATTGCGTGGTCTTCGTCTGGGGTTTCTTTATCTTCCTGCCCGTTTTCGGCCTTCGCCACGTCTGTTTCCTCCCAGGGACGCGACTGAGGATGCAGATATGGAAGACGACAACGGCAAGCAGAAGCACAACGACGAGCAGCAGCAAAGGCAGCATGCAGTACAGGTCAACTATGAACGACATGCCAACCGAGACAGAACACGCGTTGTCACGATCGAGGCGACCGGAGACACACGTTGCGAGAGGGGGAAGACGCCAACGTACGAAATTGCTGCAAGCACCGGCTGGGGGAGGACGCTTAAAAAATCTGTATTTATGACCATTGGGAAGCCGGCGGGAACGCCACGACCCCTCCAGGACCCGGCCGAAGACATCCGGTGCTAACCACGGCACCAACGTGGGGCCGCCCGATAAACCGATAGGGCCGTACCGCCAATCACCGCCAACGGTAAAACGACAAGGCCGTTGGTGGACGTTTTGGACGAGGATGGCCCGCGATGTCCGTCTTCCGGCCAGTGGACCACCACTGGACCACCTTCGACCTCCATTTTTCCTTCTGGACTCGCCTCTGACACCCCGATAATCGCGGATCCTCGGGCTCCAAAGGACCTCGCGAGGTCCTTTGGAGCCGAGGACGATTTGGCAAGGAAATCCTCGGAGCCCAAGGATTAATCCTCGGAGTGTTTTCACATTTCTGTTCCGAAAATCGGCTCCGAGGACAGGTGGAACGACGACGGAATCCTCGGAATCGCGTCCCCAAGGAGTGTCGAACGACGCCCTTAGGTGGATTTCAAGTTCCTCGTTTTTTTACTTTTTTATTTCTTCTTTTTCGTTTTTCTTTTTTTGGCCTCCATCCCTGCCCCGATCCCCCCAGTTCTTCGGAGTAGGCTGCTCTTGAGACTTCGCGATTGCCTGTGACTTGTAGTGCCTGCGAATCTCAGCTGTGGCTGAGACTCTAGGGTGTGGCCCAGACATCTCGGCCGTGGCCACTCTGGGGTGTGGCCGAGACATCTCGACCGTGGCCCAACTATGGGGCTGTTTTTTTTTTTTTTTTTTTTTTTTTTTTTTTTTTTTTTTTTTTTTTTTTTTTTTTTTTTTTTTTTATAAATAAAAAAAAAAAAAAAAAAAAAAAAAAAAAAAAAAAAAAAAAAAAAAAAAAAAAAAAAAAAAAAAAACGGCCATGTGCCTGACTCAACTGCTAGAAAAAGCCAGCCCGAGTTTCAAATTGCTAAAATGCAGTTTCAAATGCAATTGAAACTCGGGCCCTGACTAAACCGCTAAAACGCAGTTTCAAATGCAATTACTAACTGTTACCCTGACTGCACCGTAGTTTTCTTTTTTTTAAAACAACAACAACAAAAAAAAGTTATTGAATGAGGTCGGGAATCCCTCAACATCTCCACCTGGTAGTGAAGCTTGTGCTGGAAACCGGGTCTAGCGTCCCATGGTCTAGGCTCCCAGACAGAGTAGCAGGCGACCCGGAATAGGAATTCTTTTGAATTTCTCGAGTCGGTCTTGGCTGTTTTGCTTCCTTTATTTCGGTGTCCTAAAAGTTTTATGCTGGGGTTTTTGAGCTCTATGTATTACTAACTTTCTCTTCCTTACCCTGCACACCTTATGTGGCATATGGTCAAAGCGGGATATCCTGAGGTCATCCGTAGCCGTGCTGAGGACATGAAATCCAGTGGCTCACAACTGGCCTATGCCCGACCGCCGGAGCCACGGCAAGATGGTGCAGCATTGCAATCCAACTTGTTGGGTTGGGGGCGTCAGACCTTGTATATAGATCTGGAGGGTTCTTTGGGGAGGCATTCCTAGTGACTAATGGTGTGGCTAATGGTGTGGCTAATGATGTGCTAATGCTGTGGCTAATGGTGGGCTCGGGGCAGAGGCTAAAGTTGGGCGAAGCCGAGGCAAGGAGGCACAATCCTGTGACCCAGTCATTTGGGGGTGAGAGGCCTGGTTGAGAGATCTGGTCTTATGGTGGATTCGAGTGCATCGCTGGAAGTGCTGATTGGTCTGTTAGGGTATCCGTTTGGAATCACTTTAACTTGCTGAGAGCCCTAATGAAAAGATTTATGAACTGATCCTTATATGTTTGCAGCTTGATGAGGGTTTTCAGAGGTACTCTACTATTCGTATCACCTCCCTTACGAATGGAACATAGAATTCGTGAAAACCTAACAAAATAAATTGTTAGGTTTGCACGAAAATTTTTAAAGATTCTGATAACACTTTTTTCAGGCCTCCTATATGAACAAAATTTTATGTGAAGTAAATTAACCGCAAAAAAGGAATAGAAAACTACTTTTTCAGAACCACTAGTAGTGATGAGGAGAGAAGCAAGTTTTTTTACATTACCAAAAGAATTAGTATCGTGCAAAGCACCATTAATTCAGGAACTGAAATATCACAATATTTTGTTTGACTAAAAAAATCATATTTATAGTTCTGTAAGGTATGTAGCACGACGAACCTATTCGGGGGTTTCCCAAACATGCACACATGCTCTCATATTCACGAATACATTTTCTTGGATATGTTATCTCATACATCGACGAATTTCATTTTCTAATTTGAAATCATCGTTGGCTAGGAATTTGAAGATGTCCCCCAAGCAAAAGTTGTTTTAATTTTTCTTTTACACAACATATATTTTTTGACAAAAGTTTTACAGTTAACTTAAAAATGGAGTTATATTAATTTATAGACTGTCGTTCTATAAACTCGATTTTGCAGAATCTGGTGTTTTTAAGTATTTTTTTTATTTTTTAATTTTAAATCATCGTTGGCTAGGAATTTGAAGATGTCTCTGAGACAAAAGTTGATTTAATTATTCTTTTATATAACATATATTTTTTGACACGGGTTTTAAAGTTAACTTAAAAATGAAGTTATATTAATTTATAGTTCTATAAACTCGATTTCGCAGAATCTGGTTTTTACCAAACTGCTGAAAACGGTTTATTGTTCTATAAATGAGTATTCATTGAAACTGTTTTTTTTAACATCTTTCGGGTTCGCCTTATAGTCATTAAAGGTTGTCTTGTTTGAGCTATGACTTCTGTCAATCTACTAAGAACGACTTACAGTCCTATAACATGCTCTTTGTTGGAAAGAAGTTTCTTGCACATTTTGAGAATCGCTAGACTTTTTGCCTGTTTTTTTACCTCCTTTCTTGGGAAACAGTTAAAAACGCTCTCTTTTATGTGTCAAAAATAACAGTTTGACTTTTACTTTTTCATTCTATTAAAAATGTTAGGTTTTGTAGTTTTGTCAGGTTTTCTCAAATTGAATTTTCTCATCCGTTCACGAGATTCGCGTGTGTGTCCTCTGCTCACCACAGAAACATCGGAGAGACACTCTTTTTAAAGAAGCAACAATTGTGGAGATTTATTTCAAAGTGATTCAGGTCATTTTTCAAAGATTGGTCCCTTAGGCGTTTCTAAGACCTCGGTTTCAAAGTAGCAATTTCTAGTACTTTTTGACTCGTTCTAACGGGTTAGAATGATGTCACCATTCGCCTTTTTCTCTTGTCTTTGTGCTTCACACTTTATAGAACTATAAACGGAATAAAGAATTCCGAAGCTGAGAAGGTTTTTTGCGTTCCAATTTATAAGACTATAAATACGCAAATGTCAAGATGTCTGACTTCGGTACAAGGGCGCACATTTTCGGAGTGCTTTATGTTTTCTTTTTTTCTCGCATATTTGTGCGTCACAGTTTATAGAACTATAAACGGAATGAAGAATTTCAAAGCAAACATGTTTTTTTGCTTTCCAATTTATAGGACTATAAATACACAAATGTCAAGATGTCGGGCTTCGGTACAAGGACGCACATTTTCGGAGTGCTTCTTTGTTTTCTTTTTTCTCACATGTTTGTGCGTCACGGTTTATAGAACTATAAACCGAATGGAGAATTCCGAAGCTGACATGGTTTTTTGCTTTCTAATTTATAGGACTATAAATACGCAAATGTCAAGATGTCTGGTTTCGGTACAAGGGCGCAAATTTTCGGAGTGCTTCTTTGTTTTCTTTTTTTTTAGTGTGTCTTTGCCACGTGCTTTATAGAACTACAAACAGAATTCGGGATGCATGAACTGCATCTCTTTTCTGCTTCTTTAATAAAACGAGTCCAAAGGTGAATATGCCAAGACGTCCTGCTTTCGTACAACGCAATACATTTTGGAGTGATCGTTATCCTGCCTGGGTTTTCTTAACTTTCCTCTAAGTCTGTAAGTCGTATTTAGTATTGTGGAATGAATTGTCATATTTGCGCGGTTTCAGCAGAGCAAATAATTTATTTCTCAACTACAAGCGACTTTTGGGATCACTTGTTGACCTGCTTTTGTATGTGATAAAAATGAGGCTCCGTGGACAAGCTTTCGTCTCACTAATCACCTTCTCCTAACAGGAGCCTTGTTTTGGTATGTTTTTCATCACTAGGTGCGGCATACAACGTGTAAAAGTAGCTTCAGCGGAGTGAAAATGAGTGAAAAAATTTTGGTTTTCTCCGGTCTATAAAGATTATTTGATTTTCTACGTTTGTTTGGTTTTCATGAACATTAGGTCTTTTGGCCAAGAGATAGGGACCTCTATTTTGTGAAAACTACACAAGGTGAGAGGTGTAGGTCTTTGAGAGGGTAGGGGCGGATACGGGGTTGCTCTATCCTGGTGCTGGGGCTGTTTCTTGGGGTGCAGATCAACCCTTGTTTACTCTATAAAGGAAGTGGAGAAGGGATGCACGAAGACGATACTAGAGAAGGCGGAGAAGAGGGAGAAGGGAGCGGGGAGAACATATCGGAAAGGCCATGTTGATCCCACAAGAATGTTTGTAGCCAATTGAATTGCAGAGTGAGGGGTTC